TTTTTTCCCATTTTTGAATGTTTTCATGTTAAATCCCGATATTATTTCTTTCCACTGCATTTTTTTCTTATTTGTATTTGCTGAGTGTTTTACTGCCCCAATGATAACTGATATGTCCTATATGATAAGCTAAGCAAACATGTGATCAGTTGGCTTGCGGCTCCACAACACCTGTACAGGATCACAGATGCTATTTCAGAGCTAATTCATCCACACCGTCACTATGCTGTACCTACGAAAATCACAGCCTTTGCTCTCCAACAATCTGCTGTTGTACCTACGAAAATCACATATTCTCTCAAGACCAACAAGCTGACATTCTGACTAAACCATTAGCTATACTTCACTTCCGACATCTTAAGGACAAACTGACTATCCATTTCGATTTATCATCTTGAGGGGAGGTGTTAGTGCCATCATTATAAACAGCTCCTCCATGACCAACTTCTGCTCCATTTCTTCACTGCAGCAATCATTATCGTTCCTGCTAACCATTTCAGCAATCATCACCCAGAAATTTTATTCAACTGGGGCCTCTAAATTAAAATAATTTTGTTTTTCATCTCATTTGGAATGTTAGAATACATTAAAATAATTTGGTTTGTCGTTTCATTACCGGAGCCAAGAGAAGCTGTAAGATCAAAATTAAGAATGCAAATAACATGACCCTTAGAGCTTAGAAGACATAAATGTCTGCCATGGTCGGTCTCCATTTAGGGGTGATGAGAGAGGAGCGAAGGGAAAACGAGAGTTGTGCTCGAGATCTTGAGTCGCGAGAGAAGAACAAAGGGGAAAAAGAATCATTGATGTTTTTCATGTTTCTAGAAAAATGTGTTGATGGCTTCTCTGATGAAGAAATAACTTTAAAATGAAGAATTATCAAAATTAGAGTAGATTTCCTCGTTGGCGAACTTGTTGCTATGTTAAGCTGTAAAACAATCAGTTTTTCATCACTCCGTCCGCAATGGAAAGTCATTCCTCCCTCTCTCTTTCAATATTTTATCCCATTAGTCTTTCTCTCTATAGCTGAAGCATTGAAGACTTGAAATGGAAAAAGCCTGTAATAAATAAAATGAAAGTTGACAAGGGGTTGTACCATAATGAATGATTAAGCTGTAGATAGTAAGGGTATATAACTCCTATTCTATGTATTCCTCCCTTGTTTTTCTTTCTTCTACAGTCATATTGTGTAATTCTACACTACATACAACAATAAACGAGAGGTTGATGATGATTAGTTTAGCCCATATGCAAAATTTATTCTGCTAACTATAAAGAACTAATTAATTTATCTATAACAGAAAGAATTAATTTGTTTAATACTAAAATTATAATTTGAATTCAAATTAAATATCCTAATCTTTGTATTCATCAATCAAATATCTTAATTATATATATATATATATATATATAGAGAGAGAGAGAGAGGGAGTTATGCATCATTTTCTTCGAAAATGTTTAAGGCTTCGTTTGGGACGGCTTTCTTACTGTTTCATAAAACAACTTTTTAGTGCAAAAATTAAAAAAATTATACTAAAAAGCCGCCCCAAATGAAGCCTAAATCTTAAAAATGGCTTTAAGAGAAATATATAATATGATTCATTTTTTGTTCTTTTATCTTTTATAAATTTACTTTTTTTTATTTATTGAACTTGCTGCTTCTAATTTTATTTATCTCTTCTTTCTAAATGATATGTTAACTTCATCTAATCAATGCAACTGTCCCATTAACTACAAAGAATGGTTGTTAGTGACTAAAGACAAGGCTTAGAGTTACCAAGTTCCGAAGTTTCTTAGTTTATGAAGATTCACTCCTCCACTACTTTGTTGCTTGAACACTAGAACTCTAATCATGCAGATGATTATCAGGTAAGTTCAAGAAAACCTGTTTTAAGCATGTTAATCATGTTGTAGTTACTAATTATCAGGGGTGCAAATAAGTCTAGTAGAGCTCAAGTAAGACTAACTCGAGCACTACTCGCGAGCCAAATCACGAGCTCAAGCTCAACTCGTGCATGCCATTGAAAAATTTATTCGTCGAGCGGCTCGATTTCGAAGTTCGATCTCCAATTTTGTGTCCACGGCCCGCCTCCGCCCTCCGCAATTCCTCCTTCCATGTCTGAGCCTGCCCCCGCAATTTTGATTTACGACTTCTGATTCAGCCTTCTACATCCAAGCTCACCCCCTCAATTCTACCTTCTGTGCCCAAGCTCACCACAACAATTCAGCCTTTCGTGGTACTGATTCCGCACTTGAGCAGTTCAATGAGTAATTGAGCCGAGTATCTTGAGGATCAAACTCGAGCTCGATAATCCAATGAGCTCGAAATTCTACTCAAGCTCGAAGCTTGATAATCTCAACTGGTGAACTCGTTAACAAGTTGAGCTTGACTGTTTTGCACCTCTAGTGTTTATACACTCATACATTGATGCATCAGTTTTATAAACTTGTATTTTCCATCATTTTGTTCATTCTTATATTTTTATGTTTCATTTGGGACAGCTTCCTTACTGCTTTCTAAAACAACTTTTTAATACAAAATTTATTGTTCACAATTTTTTTTTTATTAAACACTCCTTAAAAAAGTTGTTAAAAAGATGTCCTAAACTAAGCCTAGTCACATGAAATGCTGATGAATGATATTGAGAAGAATATAAGAATTTTAGAGAAGCCATGGTGCATAACTAGTTCAAAAACATCTCTTTGTTTATGCTAAATGAAATCGAATACTTAATTTTATAGAAACCTCAAAAATTGATTCACCCAATCTTGCTAAGTTCAAAGAGAGAGAAGGAAGGATCAGTAACTTTTTAATAACATGAAGCAACCTTTAAGAGGAGTATTCTTACGCTAAATGAAGAAGATCCAATAATAGAATCAAGGTCTCAAGCAACCTTAAAGAAGGAATATAATTTTGAATATTATTTTCTAAGTCATTAAAAAGGCCTAGATCTGTATATCAATAAGCTATAAGAGAACATGAATCCTCGATCTAATTATAAAAATGACTATTAAAAGGAAATTAAAGCTTGATTAAGCTATGATAACCTGAACTTGATCTATCAAGAATTGCTGAATCTATGTTATTAATATCTTTCATCTTATAATATGACTTAAAGAAGAAAAGATAAGAAGGCTTGAAGTGAAAGGATTCTTTGGAGATTCACCTTATAAAAGTTATGATATGACTTATGAGGAAATGGGGATCAGATTCATTCACATTATGTTTCATTTATCTTAGAATATTACAAAATGTGGTATTCCTTCTTTGTGACAAGATAAAGCATGAACAATTTTAGGGACATAGTGTAATAATGCAAAGTTTTACATGATTAAGAACCTATCAATGACCCTTGTGAAATTTCCTGCATGCATGGAAATCTACACGGGAGCGCTATGTTGGTGCGTGAGTTCTGTGAGTGTAGTTGCGCTGTCTTTCAAGTTTAGAATTTTCAAGAGGACTAATTTAGCGTTGGGTTTAATTTATATATATATATATATATATATATATATATATATATATATATATATAT